ATGCAGCACAGCCGGCAGCTATTAACCTTCTAAGCAGGAATGTGGGAGGTCCAAGAATTCCAATAAAAAACAGGAGTGTGTGTGAGACACTGAACATTTTGAGATTCTTTTTTTCATTTTGAGCTTTATTTTATTCCAAAAGTCGATTCTCCGCATCTATTGTGCTTACATAGGAAACCAGAAAGTTTGATAAATGGCCTTGTCCAATGATTGAACAAAATACATGTATACAGGTATGACAAATCCAAATCGTGGAACAAATGAAACAATATTACTGCACACGACCACATTTTAACACACAAGATTAAAACATTGAAAAGTTATTGACATGCCGTGTCATAAAGCAAACAATACACAGGAAAAAAAATACGTGTTCATAGCTGCAGATATCATTTTGTGAACAATGCAGTTCCAATGACTAAAATCAAATACTCAAAGTAAGTGCAGTGCGGTTAATAGATGTTTTGCCCTGCATGTAGACTGGGACAAGAGTGGTCTGACCGGCTCGGGGGCAAAGACGTATTGAGTTGGTTTGTGTAGAGTAGTCTCATGTAAACGTAGTGACTGATTGTCAATATCAGGCACAACCAATAGTTGTAAAACTAGGCTCAGCAGGCCTCTGGGCACATTTACTGCTGCTGTTATGTTAGCATAAAAAACTAAATCTAAATGGGGCTTTTACTTTTGAGCACCACATTACAGTCCTGTGCAGAGAAGCCAATAATCCATGTAACTTGATGGGTAGTTTAACGGTGACAGGGGCAAATGGCCGATTCTGTAGCTGAACGAGGACCCAGAGTGCTGGACATGGTCTTTCCTGCCTATGGTCAAGGACAGCCGGACTAATGCCACGGAGGTCTATTAGTGTCGTCTGGCTGAGCACATTGTTCACTTTAGGCACATTCCTGGATAAACACAGGCATTTCTACAAATGATGGCCTATCCGCAAGAAGTCATTTGTCACTGCAGACAAGCAGATCACAACTATCATTACACATCAGCATGTCAAGAAAAGATTTGTGGAGCAGGTATACTTTCCATAATTTCAAGGGTGATTTTACACAGTCCTTAGTTTGAGCAAGTCAAGAAAAGTATGATTGGGGAAGATTTTTTTATGATGTCTTTATTTGAATGGGACAGTGTGCATTTCATCTACTGCTGAAAACACCCTGGATTTTAGCAGATTCAAAGCTTTAGTTTTTGTTTTTAGTATCAAAAGTTACTCATGAAATGATGGTGCTTTTATGAGATAAACTATGCCCCCAGAGCTAAAGAGATTTTTGTTCACATACAGCGCTTTGTGACTATGACGGCGCTGTGAAACTCTGCTGGAACAAATTTGATTATAGAAACAGTCATAGCTGAAATAAGTTACCTGACTAATGTTTTTTAATCTTGCCAATATATAGTTTTACCAGTCAGGCATTAATGCATTCCTCATGTTCACGCTCACAGACCATGGTGAAATAACCTCACCTGATTGGTGCTTGTTTGCAAACCGTTTTCTTATGGAACGTCATCTGGTACGGGCTTTACGCATGTTGGCTGAGCCTGATCACAGCAGGACACTGTGCCATAAAGCCGGCTGTAAAACTGTATTGGGATAAAGCAGGCAGTGGTTGTGCTGTGGTCAGCACTGTGAGCGAGTTCTCACAGATAAGGCTAATCGCTCTGTTTATCGGCACAGTGCTGGTTGAGATTGAAAGGCATATGCTTAAAAGAGACAAGTTTTATTTACTCAGTGTTTTAGAATTTCAATTTTTTCTTGTATAGACCTAAATCCCGACAGTAGTTTCCTCGGAATACTTAAAACCATTAAATTCAGAAGTTCTGCCATATCACAACTTCAAGGAGACATTATTTTAAAAAACATTTTTCTCCATACATAAAACTCAGCCCTGAAAGTGTTTTTAGATCAAGCCACAAAATATCCTCTGGAACTTCTGACATGTAACTCTGCCTTTTCCGTCAAAACTCTTCCATCTCAATCCTCGTAGTATGATGTCATTGTATTGCTATGACTATATATTTTGCCTTTTTGGGCGGCACGGTGGCTGAGTGGATAGCACTCTCGCCTCTCAGCAAGAAGGTCCTGGGTTCAAATCCCGGTTGGACCAGGGCCTTTCTGAGTGGAGTTTGCATGTTCTCCCCGTGTCTGCGTAGGTTTCCTCCGGGTGCTCCGGTTTCCCCTACCACTAAAAATATGTACAATAGGTCTGGCATGTGCCTCCTGTACTGGCACCCCCACTCCCAAAAAATAACAATTGTAAACCGCTTTGAGACTCCGATGTGCAGTGAAAAGGCGGTATATAAATAAAGATTACTATATAAATAAAGATTACTACTACTAAAACAAAAGTATTGCCCATAAACAAGTTTTGGCGATTTTTTAGGAGAAATTACGCTGTGTTTGCAGCCCGTACAAAAACAAATGTAACTCCCTCTGTTGGTAGCATAAGGATAGGGCAGGCTGATAGCATTGTTTATCCCACAATATATTGTATACTTGAGATATCTTTTCACATTCTTAAATGAAATGACAAAAAAGAGAAGTCTCATTATCAACTTTAATAGACAAACATAATGCATAATACTTGTTCTTTAAGGCGGGACATGGAGCGACTAAATAAAACACACACACATCCTCGGCATGTCAATCAAGCCAGCGAAAGTTTAAGGCAGAACAATCATGATTAAACTCCCCACAAAACTGAATGACTAATGAAAAGTGGGCTCTTTTCACACGACAGCACGCAGGCAGAAGTGAGGAGAAGTGTGGTCTCTTCACATGTCAAAGCAGCACCAAAGTATGAGCTGCTCTGTACCATTACCAGCACAATGAGAGGTCCCTGGCCCCACAAGTCTGCCCCACTCCCACCATTGTCCCATGCTCCACAATGGCCACTCCGGAGCCAGGGGTCCCACTATGCAATTCCATCGCACACAAAGACACACACCAGTCCTTATCCCATCAGAAAGAGGTGGATGACAAGGGTGGCAGAAGAAAAATGTGAACCCTTGGGAAGAGATGACAGACGTGCAAAAAAATAAAATAAAAATAAAACAGGTCTAAAAAAGTGTGACTGAGGTGATACCGGACCAGTGCGGCAGTCAGACAGGGGTGACAAATGTGTGCGTGTGTTTCAATTAATACTTTTTTTTTTTTGTCAAGCGTTATGTTTACGACGGCCTGGGCTTTAGCGAGGATATGAAGAGGGAGACAGGCAGGGGATGCAAGTGTTTCAGCCACCTGTGGAGTGAATTTGCAGACAGCCTTGAGCGCTTTCAAAACATAATTACTCATCATAAAAAGGTAGAGACAATTTCCAAAACCACAGACACAATAATGTAAAGATTATAGTTAACCAACGTCTTCAGAGCCGCGGCTAACAATTACTCGCAAATAGTCTAGGATTATTTTTTAACAGAGAGGGATTTTTATGCGCATTCTAAACACATCAAGGTTGAAGTATTGTAACTATTGGAGAAAATGTGATTGACGTAGAGAAGATGGAATGCGTGTATAATTATAATTACCTGCAATTACAAAACTCTATAGCACGATTTGAACACATGACAACTAAAGTGCTTATACTTTAGTTATTAGAGTTTGTTTATCATAATTTGCCGCAGCTCTTTACTCCTCTTCTAATTTGGAGCTGAAAACATATTTTACAAATCTGTTATTACGTAGTAATAAGGAAGCCACTGATTAAATGAAGTCTATCGGCTGAGGCTTTCTGTACGGGACATAATCCCGCAACACTGTCGTCCCACAGAAAGGATGATTACATTTTTATCCATACATCCAGGTCTTAATGGGTTACAACCTTTCACATCCTGCAAACGCATTCAATCCGAATTAAGTCACCCAACACAGGTTAAGGGTTAAAACTATCCTGATTGCCAATGTAGACAAAGGCTGCCCTGTAGATTACACAATTCAAGTTAGAAGATCGGCCTGTTGTTAGATAATAGCTCCAAGCTGCAATGTTTACCAACTTGTACATATCGGCCAGAGAATTACAGCTGTGCTAATGCTATAAGAAGCCTCTGTGAATTAATCTATTGTTAAAGTAACTTAAAAGTGTGAAAAATGTGCTTGTTTAGTGTGAGCAGACATGTTCACACATCACGCAGACAACAAATATACAGCGGGAAAAGTTCATTCTCGGTTGAAAAGAAGGCAAACAACCAGCCCACAACACAAACGAACCTACACCCCCGTACCTAAGGCGCAGTGTGTCTGAGGATCTGATGCACTTGGAATAAAGAGGCTACTTGTGGTGGGCAGTGTGATGTCATGCCCCGCCACTGCAATTGCTGCTGAGAGGAAAGGGCCAGTAAGTGGAGGAATGTGGAGACTTGAGAGGCGAAGGCTGGGTGCACTGGGATTCGAGGGGAACAAGGTGGGGGGGAGAGAGGGGAATGTCCCAAGAGGGAAAAGGATCCCGCACCACATGGGCCAATGCCAAATGCTTACCAGTAACAACTCAAAGTGTCAAGCCATTATTCTGGGATGTTACACTCTGCAATTATGTGTTGTTTATGCCAGATGAACCTCACACTGGGTAAAAAGTTGTTTGTTTCTGCAATCATTAAGTGTAAACTGCAAAGCTGGCAAAAAAAGAAGATCCCACTTCCTCATTTCTGGATGAAAAAAAATCACCTAGGCTTCTATAGAGGAGAGCAAGAACAAACTTATGCAAGCATTTAAGGAATTAGACCAGCACACGCACTCACAGACCTCAGCTGACTACTGGAAACCCCCTCCTTTTCTTCTCCCACAACAGAGTGCTGACAGACCTAACAATGTATGCACAACTTGTACATTATGATGAAAGGGCGCTATCGGAATAATGTCTGCCCTGTGTGTTTTCTAGCTTTAAAGATTGTGCGAGATTGTGAAATGAGGTTGTCAGGGTAACAGAGAGGATGTCGCTGTGACAACTATACTGTAGTTAGTTAAACCACTTCCTCCACGGCTCAAACCCAGCTCCATGTCTCAACATCAAAAACACGCGCAAAAGGACTCTCCGGGATCACAGTTGACACAGTCCAAACTTGGTGGGGCCAGTCCCAGCGTGACCGGCGCTCCAAACACGCCAAGTAAACAAAAAGACAATGGGGATGAAAGTCATAAAGCAGCTACTCACCAGAATCTCCAGGTGTTTTCATTCTGCCTTTCTGTAAGAGCAGCGCTGGGTAAATCTGCTGAGACCTGTCGAATTCCGCGGAGTATCTCGTGGAAAGAAAAGTCAGTGCGGTCCTCTCCTCACAGTTCCTCTGGAGGAAACCCAGCAGTCACACACTCACACACTCAGTCCAAACTTTCCGTGCTCTCACAGCAGCAGCAGCAGCGGCACTGGGCTCTCCGTGTTTCCTCTTCTTATCCCGGGACACCAGAGCACCACACTGTCCTCCAGAGCTGACCCCACACCGCGCCACTGGAGCCTCTGTCCTGGAGCCTCTGTCCCGGAGCCTCTGTCCCGGAGCCGCGGTACTAAAGTGTTGAAGTTGTGGCGGACGCTTCCAGCTCGGAGCGTTCAGCTTCTCCAGAACAAGTTGTGCCTCATGGTCGGTTTACTCCACGCCATCCTCCTCGTTGTTGCTCATCTTTCCTCGTCAGTCTTTCTCACTAGTTTGACAGAAAAGCTCGTTTCGGTGTTAGATCTCTTTCTTTGAGACTTTTTCAGTGCGTGTCCCTCTCACGGCGGCAGCACTCCTCCCCCCGCTCCTCTCCATGTCCTCTGGGTGTCGTGTTTCTGCTCAGGCCCGCCCCGTGGCCGCCCACACTGACGGAGGAGGGGAGGGCAGGGGGGGCAGTCACGCCCCCTCACCACGAGCCGGTTCACGCTGGCGTCACTGTAGCACACGACGTTGCCTCGGTGACCGCCACACGGCTACGTCACATCCGGGTCTGAAGAAACGCGCTCTACGGCGCTTGTGCGTCAATCAGCGCACGGGAGCGGCTTCATCATTATGATCAAGTGACCAATAATTAGCAGCGCCTCATTCATCTGCAGACAAAGCGGTCACTCTCTCTGCAGTGATTATTGACTGTGATACACAAACGCTTCTGAAGATTATCCTACTTTCTATTCATTCCATGCCAACTTCTGCTTCATGATTAGGTTACTTTTTTATGTTCATTAATGAGATACATTTGAACTTGAAGTCAAACCAATATGCACAAAGTCCAATGTATTTTCTCCAAGAGGTGGAACAATAATAGCCAATTTTGTTATCAAGGGAACACTCATTCATCCATCCAACACTGATTTACAAATTGAATTGCCAAAGCACTTTCCAAAGTAATTAAAACCAACTTTAATGTCAGTCCAAACACACCTCTTTAGTCACAAAGAACTCTCTTGAATGCAAACTCACATGTTCAATCGTGGGGGAAATGAGCGCTTCTATTTTCAGCTGTGCATTTCAGATTCAAAATATTCAGAGGGACTGTCAGACGCTAACAGCAAACAATATTAGCTGAGTTAAGCGGGGAAACAGTGGGGTAAATGGAATAAATGGCAACAAATCTACTACATCTAATGATATCCTCATTCAAATGGGAGGTAAATGCATAAATCATAACATTAATAACTAATAAACAAAGCCCCTTATTATTGATGAATTTTGGTATTGTCCAGGCGCCTGTAGCACGAAGCAGCAGGTCCATGTGCGCATGAAGTCTTGTATTCACACCGTGGTCTGTGTTGCAAACAGGACAAGGCAGTAGTTAAACAAAGTCAACAACGTTCCCTAACAACCAGCAGGGAGATTTACAAACAGGATTTCTCTTGTCTTTTACTACTCTGTGATGAGCTCAGGAAACCAGCGCTGGCCTCTCAGATAAGACAGGACCCAGAGTGCCCCATCTTGTGACTCCTGTGAACGATGCTGTAGACTTCATGTGCAGGAAACTGTCCGCACTTCTCACTTCTTGACGACAGGAAAAGCGGCAAAAAACTGTTGGAACTTGGAATTGTCTCACGGTGGTTGACAATACTTGTGTGAAAGGTCATGACAAAGCCGTTACTGTCAGTTTCATGGACTAACACTCCAGCTCTGAGCAGTCATATAATAAGCAGTCACTTCTCATTTTGGAAGACTAATTACTCAGCGTATTTACAAACTTTGTGACTTATCTATATATGTAGAATATTTCTGTCATTTTGAAATGTGAGTATCTACCTTTAACATGTAAATCGCTCGACAGCCAACATTCTGTTCGAGCCTCTTTCCTCTATGGTGCAGGTTTTGGATTGATCATGGACTAGTCCTGGTCTGGTCTTGTATTTCAAGTTTTTTTCATTCATTCATTCATTCATTTTCTACCCCTTTATTAGTCCATTTCTGGGTCAGGGGGGTGACAATCAGAGCTGCCACCCAATGCTCATAGCACCAATCCCAAGTTTCTATACTTACTAAAAGCAAGTAAAGTTAAAAGCCATACACACTTGCTTTTAAAAAAACTTTTGGGGTTTTATTCAAAGTTCCCTTTATTCGAAAGGGAGCAGTCAAAATGTCTGCCGAGTAGTTTCTGAATTTTTGGAGTTCTGTTGTTAAAGCATGTGTAAAGAAATGTGTAGATATTGGGAAGCTAGAATACATTTTGATAATAATTTCTAATTTCTAATACCTATAATAAATGTACTTATATCAAGACATTTCTCATGATATCTTCCCATATGTAGTTCACAAAAGGATGAACTATGAACTGATGAATCCAAAGCAAACATCAAGCTCACTGCTGGAGGAAAACTCTTCAACATTTACCTGCCTCTTTGAATCGATGTGTGTCAAGAAGAGCCGACGCACTGTTGTAACTCACACACAAATAGATGATATTTAGTAGCGGACAGTACATTCTGAGCTGCGTTTAAAACACTACGCAGCCGCATCTCCCTCCAAAAGTCGTCCTCCTCCGTCGTGTCTTTCAGCTCCCCTTTCTCTGTGTGGTCCCACTCATACATCGTGTGGGTCTGTCGTCCTTTTCAACACCTCCGTGCTCCTCCACACCGCCTCTCCCTGCCACGCCGTGCCTCCCTCAATTATTATGTAATTCATGATATATGTTGGCCATGAAGCTTCAAATGTGACACATAAGATAAACTTTATTGATCTCACAATGGAGACATTTACAATCATTTACAGATCATTATGAGTCCTCTGTATATTGTGAGAAAGGGTCTTGCTTTTACTAAATATATTTAACACTAGAACTCTCAGAGCAGTCAATTTGACAGCTCTTTTTTTTGGAAGTGTGATTACTCCACGTATGCTAATTTTTGGTCTACATAACTCTGTATCTAGATGTAGTTTATATCATTATAATGATTTTTTTATTTTTCATTATCTTGACCCTGGACTGGTTCGTAGCAATTTCAGCTTGGAGCAAGTGCTAGTTACCATAGCAACACGCTGTTTACTTGCAGTAGTTTAGCATTTCATTTTGCTATATTTTATTTTTATTAATCAGTTTTAGCATTTATTAAATATTTTGAAAACTGATTTGATACATTTTAATAGTAGTGAAAAAAATATAATTGTTGAAATCCTTTCATTTGAATAGAAGCCGTCAAAATGGGAGTTTTCAGTTCTCATAGTCTCATGGCCAAAATGACGTGCGCTGACATGCTGCAATACCACCACGGGCCAATGGGGGTGGACCCAGAATAAGAATTAGCCAATGCTAACATATAGCATTAGCTGACCTCTCAAAAACGTCTTTACAGGATGGTCCAAAAGTTGGCTCTTGGCCCAAAGCTCCGTTTCACATGTGTGTCAATGCTGAGGGGGGTGAATTTTTTTGGACCAGTCTAGTTTAGTTGCTGTGAATTTTAGAAGTCTCTCGTTCAAATGAATGGAGCTGCGCCGGCTGACGCATGCGCAGATGCGTTTTTTCACTATTTTCTTGTGGGCGGGAAAACTCGCGGCCATTTTGGATAGCTCCAGTAGAGCAACATTTTTGGCCCATTAGTTAGAACGGCGGAGATAGGCGTGACTACGTTCGTTAATATTTACAGTCTATGGTTAAAACGTATCTAATTTTAGCTACAGTAATTTATTTTGTCAGAATAAAGCTGAGGTACCTTACTTTCAAACCACAAAAACGTATTTCCTTCCCTCTAAACAGTCTGGTTTTGTCACATGTACAGAATATATTTATGGCCTCACATCTTTAAATCAACTTTTTCAGTCTGAAAAGTTAAAGCGAAAGGACCACACTCATTTAACCAGTGATATTTCAGTCCAAAGCATCAAGTAGTGATTATATGTATGCAAAAGTAAACATCTAAAACATTCCTAAAAGACGTATATAAGACTCTTTCTATTAGGACAAACACAAAACTTTTTTTGAATGCAAATTATAATGAATACGTTTGAATAATCCATGACTCTTTCCAGACTGTACAAGTTTATTTTTCTGTTTGAGTTAAAATTACTTAGACCTATCGCCATATTCTCCATTTATATATTTGTCTTCAGTATTGAACAAAAAGGATATTGATTAATGATCTTGGAACAACCTTTTTAGCAAACATCATGCAATAAGTGCAATTAAAATTCGGATTCAATTTCAGTTGGCGGGCAGGTGTCAATCCAACTCTAAGGGAAAGAAAAAGTAAAAAAAAAAGAAAAACAAGAAAATGTCTGAATGTTTTTGACACCTTTATGAGAAAATATGAACAGAAAAATTACTTTGTGTGGATTAGCTTAGGAATGAGAGAGAATTTAGCAAACAACTGACTTTTGACAGTTACCATAGTTACTAGCAACACTTTTCCCATTGTCCTCCACCACAATTTTACCAACTATACACGCTCCTTGGGAATGTCGTGATGTCACTTAAACTTAACCTATTGGGTAATGGGCAAACATTTCAGCATGAGTTCTGATCTGCTTTTCCAAAAAACCCAGTCCCCCCAAAACATCACGGCTGAGAATCGTGAGGAGCGACACCATCGAGCCTTGTCCCATTGGTTCCACATTATTTGTAAGTCCCGTCCCGCTCTTTTCATCCTCTGCAAGCTTTATGTTGCCCAGTGCGTCCCTAATCGGAGTGACAGACAGACGCTGTGCAGAGAAAGACAAGAGAGAGAAAGAAGAGAGCAGAGGTTTTGTCACTGGGGCACTTGTGTAGTCAGTTCAGTGTGTTGCTTTGAATATCTGCACTTATCTCCCCTATACAAGTGAACTCTGGTCCTCCCCCAACCTCATCTGACATATCCGTTGTGGTCGGATTATGGTTTTGAATAAACTACCTCTACAAAACTGATAAACAAAGGGACTGGCAGCGCAGTAAAATGTATGCAAATAAAACACTAAGCAAGTCCATAACCAGGTGCACTGCGGAGATATCGCTCAGCACCTGTGCGTCTTCTGTAGATACGGTCATTTGAAATGGATTAGGAGCCGCAGGGCCTAAAACAAGGAAATATTTGCTCTTATGACACGACAACTTATTCAAATGACTCCACAATATTCACAATAATAGTATTTGTTATCCCTGAAAGAAGCAAAAATCATCATTTTGCTGATTTCCGTTTCATTCATTAGTCAATAACAAGAACATACATAACAATTATCATACAAACATTTATCATTTTACTGACTGATAGAGTTAGAGTGATATTTGACTTTTTTTTTCTTACCCCATCATCAAAATCACCAAAAAGTTGCACAAGATGTGGTAAATGCAATACTAAACGCTGAATTCCCAACAATTTTTCTTTCGTTATTATGCAAAAGATAGAGATTATATACTGCTTCTTTTTATTCTATAGTTATAGATTTTAATTTTTTCTATTTAGTGTAAACTTGTTATTCATTTATCTTGTGCTGTGTGCTCCTCATTCCTACTGTTGTGTAGCTTTTGATGCAACACTGAATAGAGGATCTCTTACTCTTAACTTGCACAAGGATTTCACTTAATTTTGACCAATCAGGAAGCTGCGTAGGTGAGCATGGGCGAGTCGAACCAATACAGTTTCACACTATCCTAAAAGTTTGAAAAGTAACACATTCTCTTTAACTCTGAACAAAAAACTTTATATTTACCACACAACATACTAAATTCGATCACACATGTTCTGTTTTTATGACATTGGCCTTTAATATGTGAATTGACAAACCCAGGTACACACACACGCAGATATACATACGCGGCACACACACACACACACACACACACACACACACACACACACACACACACACACACACACACACAAACCCCCTGACAGAAGCACTTCTACCTGTTAAACTAGTTCTCACATTTGCTTTCTGAAAGACCGATACAGGTGTCAATCCATTGGTCTTAGAATTATGAAAATTACGACAGTTGCCATGGAAATTTAACTTTTAAGTGTTGATATGAGACGTGCATATTCATTTGTATTCCATTCATGCGCCGCAAGACAGAAATATTATGTTCCCAAGAAGCTGACGTCAACTTTGAGTGTAGAACATTTTCCACTTCGCCTAGGTCTATTTTAAATACGTTTTGGCCCAGAATGGACAACCATGTTACAAAAAAAATTGGACTAGGCCATTTTTACGAGCTCCATGATTACTAAAGTATCAAAGCTCCCACTTAAAACGTTTGTGGTTGAACTAAAGCACGGCTCGTCGGCAGACCCGGTGCGCTCGGATCGCTTCTGGTCTGTGTCTCTAAAACACAGATGGCCCAAGTCAGAGTAATTACCATGGACAATGGGTGTGGTAGCCCGCTAACCAGTGCCACCACAGGCAATGCACACTCACATCACTGTACCACACAAAACACACACAGTTTATACCAGCAACACATGGGAAAGCCTGTGATTCCAGGAAAAGGCGTCAAACAATCAGCAGAGGTGTAATATCATATGTACGTACTGAATGTGACTGAGACATGAGTAGACCAAGTGGCATGTCCCTGAATCATAGATCATCCTGTCCATGTTTGTTTGAACTTCAAGGGTGCAGATAGTGTGATTGACTCATAAGGAATTCAACACCGTTTGCACAAAGAAACCAACAGGGTAACACATACAAGAAGCAAAAGATTTCAAAATCAGTCAATCACCAGTTCATCTATTTAATAATAAAAGTAATAATGCATTGGTTATATATGGGCTTTTTTGGACACTTAAAGACGGTTCACATGTCATTATTCTTTCACTCCATACATGGTGATGATAAACTACTACAGTAGCCACAGCTGCCCTGGGGCACACTGACAGCAGCGAAGCAACCAGTCTGTACCATCGGCCACTCCAACCACCACCAACCATTCACACACACACCAGACTCATTCTCGGCAATGTGGGTGAAGTTTCTTGCCTAAGGACACGATGACAGTTTGGCACTTTACAGCCGCAGCCATCCCAGTGTGGCACCTGGTGTTCCCAGAGGTCTCCCATCACAGTACTAACCAGGCCCTGCCCTGCTTAGCTTCAGAGTTCTGGCAGGATCTGACTTTCCCATGCAGCAGGTAATGAGGTATAAGATTCTAGGCAGGCTGGACATACAGTAGCAAGACATTCTCCAACAGCGACACATGGTTTATGGCCGCAGGGACAGGGTCAATACCATCGGACCACAGTGTTTGTATGATCTAAATATCTGACGTCTAATTATGGAATAACGTGAGTCTGCCGTCTATTGTCCTGTGTGCGCTCCCCACTGTGGGACAGAAAAAGCTTCTCTCATCTTCTTTGCATAGTTTGAAACAATGCTCAAATCTTTGTATGTTTAAGATTGTATATAAAAACTGGATTTTGAACGATTTGAAAACATCCAAAATTGCTCCTAGTTTAAAAGCGAATTGGTTTTATTATTCAGTCTCGCTGCATTGTGAGCAGGAGGATCAAGAGGTTAAAGATGTACTTAATGGTTTTACTTCTTCTGTTTTTATTCTCTCCATCCCTTTCCAAACAGCTTTGTACTTGCAGCATACAAATTGTATGATCTATGGTTCTATAGCACC